TACCAGGTGAGTTCCAGGTACCTCTATACTAGGTGAATTCTAGTTTCTGCTCTACCAGGTGAGTTCCGGGTACTTTTAAACCAGGTGAGTGTCTTGTGTCTTTTGTAGCGGGTGAGTTCAAGTTTATGCTCTCCCGGGTGAGTTCTGGGTATCTTTACAAGGTGAATTTCAGGTACTTTTATACCAGGTGAATTCCAAGAGACTTTGAACCGGACAAGAACCAGGTGCAAAACTTTACATCGGGTAAGTTACAAGTACTTTAGGAGTACGTGTCAGAAGAATCATATAACAAAAGATTTTAAATACAGTTTCAACATGCCCTCCACATCTATGGAACAGCATCGGTAGATGTAATTTTATCGTGTACGGACAAATCACAAACGTGCTTTTGATCTCTACAACGTTCATTCCCTTTTGATGTTTTGGAGTGAAGAGATCTCTGCATTAGCCAACACTTAGAAGAAATGGCCAGAGCAGGACATCTCGCAGCTTAGAATATTCTGCGGTGTTTAGCCTCATCGGTGACTACAAATTAGAACTGTTTACTGTGTCAGAAGTTAGAATATATAAAGGCACTTGGTGAGAAATTGCCAAAGCAGGACACGTTACATATTTATAGATTTCTCTGCGATGTATAGATTTACCATTTACTAGAAAATAGGATTGTTTCCTGTACTAGAAATTAGAAGTGACATGCACCTGATAAAAAATGGAACAGAACAGGACACTTCACAGCTTCATACATTACGCTGTGGGGTTTAGCTTTATCATTGACTAGAAATTAGGACTGTTTGCTGTGCTAGAGTTAGAATATAAAAGCTGATCTAATAAGGAAAAAGTTCTTCGCGATTCCATCCGAGTCGTGCACGAGGGCGAGAGAAATTTATTTTTGTGATACTCCTTTGAAAACCTTTTTTTTTTTACATAACGGTAGTCCCTGTTTCACATAAAGAGCGCTGTTTTCACATGTAACTGCTCTCTCACATCTAAGACCTGTTCACATATACCTTTTCATATTAAGTCCTATTTTTGCCTCGACAATACTCGCTATTCTTAACATGCCATACTTTTTTCTTGACTAAACCCCCCTGAAAGCTTTGTTTATGCCCCCCCCCCCCCCCAGGGTCCGTGTCACTCTCCCGACCGCCCGCGCGAAATCGACGCCTGCAAGAGGGTGCTGGCGGCCTGGGCCATGGGGGCGTCCGCCTTCGTCTACCCTCAGGTGAGTTCACGCTCGGTCGGCTGTCTACTTTCTGCTGAATTTTCTCTGGGCCTTACGTCTGTTTCCGTGTCTCTTTTGTCTCTCCTTGTCTCTGATTCTCTGCTCTTTTTTTTTCTCTCTCTTTCCATAAGGAGTGTTTTACTACTCCGATGCTGTTTGTTCTTCATAGCTCCCCTAGAGGGACAATAGATCTGTAAGTTTCTGACCAAAATTTTATCTTCTATTCAAATCCGCTGATTTTGCCTTGTTCTACTTCTTTTTAATTTGCTTCCTTCTTTCTTTCTTCGTTGTCATTCACTGAAACTTGGCTCAAATGATGACCTGTGACCTTTTTTTTTTTATCCCTGCAGGAAGCTGGTCTACCCATAGGAGGCCCGGACTTCAACCCTTTCTTGATGCTGGAGGTTCATTACAACAACCCAGGACTACTTGCAGGTAAGGCTGTCAAGTCCTGGTCCCTGTATAAGGGAAAAGTCGCCACGAATCCTTCACGTCAAGGGGAGTAAGGAGGCCCCCATTACTTGGGTCTTTGGTACGTAGACCAATAGGGAAGCAGAACAACGCCCAAAACAGAGAGAAAAAAAACAAAATGAAAAAGAGAAACGAATGTGAAAAAAGGAGAAATGAAATAAAATAAAATAGAATAAAAGAGAGGTACCTTCTCCCTTTACCCTCCCCTCTCCCCCCACAGGCCGCGTGGACAGCTCTGGAATCCAGCTGCACTACACCCCCCGGCCGCGGCCATACGACGCAGGCATCATGGAACTTGGCCTCGAGTACACGGCCAAGATGGCCATCCCGCCAGCCTTGCCCTCCTTCACCCTCGCGGGATACTGCATCCCGGAGTGCACGGCGCTGGTACGTGCTTGGCGAAGGCTGGGTCGAGTGCGTGAGATGGGTCACATGCGTGGAGAGTGTCGTATGTGTGTTTTGTGGTGAATGCGTGAGATGTGTGGAATGCGTGAGATGTGTCGAGTGCGTGAGATGTTGGAATATGAATGTGTGGTTTGTGTTCAGTTGTAGAGTGTGTTGTTTGTGTGTCGAATGTGTAGAGTGTGTTGAATACTTGAATTTTGTATCTGATGCGGGAAGTATATCGAATGTATGTATTTTAGTTTGTGTCGAATATGTAAAATGTTTTTTGTGTCTAATTTGTGTAGTATGTGTCAAATACCTGAGCCGTGTCGAATACGACTACTGTCGTGTTTTGACAATTGTAGTGTCGAATGCATACATTTTGTGTCGAGTATGTAAAATGTGTCGAATGCACGTATATCAAGTCTAATATGGAGTGTCGAGTGCTTAGGATGAGTCAAAACTACACGACCGTCACTTATACTTTTTGTGTTGTGACATTTTCCTTATCTTTGATACCTTCTTCTACATTTGTTCTTGTTCTTTCACGCTTTCTTTCGCGCTGTCCTTCTCTCTTTTTTATCTATCAATCTGCATATTATTGTTTTTCTTATTGTTTATTATTATCAATATCATCGTTAGTATTATTGTTATTACGCTTATTATCACTATAATTATTATCACTACCACCACAACCACCACCATTATCACCACCACCACAATCACCCACCCCTCCCTCTGCCACGCCATCGCCCTTGCACCACAAACCCCCTGCTCCTCGCGCCGCGAAGCCCTTCCATCTGCGCCTGCCTAACGCCCTCCCTCCGCAGGGCCTGCCACCGGAGGGCATCCACATCTTCGGGTCGCAGCTCCACACGCATTTGACCGGCGTGCGTGCGTGGACCAAGCACCTGCGTGGGAGTGAGGAGTTGCCGGAGCTCAACAGAGATGACCACTACTCCACGCACTTCCAGGAGATTCGGCGACTGGCCAAGCCCGTGCATGTGCTGCCCGTGAGTGTGTGTGTGTGGGGGGGGGGGGGGGATGAGAGGAGGGGGGGGAGGAAGGGAAAGAGGAGGGATGGAAAGGAGAGTGGGAGGGAGGGGAGGAAGGGAGGGTGGGAGAAGTAGGGCAGATGGAGGGAAGGGAATGGAGAGGGGAAGGGGATGGGTAATGGAGAGGAAGGAAGTGAGGGAGAAGAAATTCGACAATTAGCCCATTCTTGTGCTGCCTGTGAGCGAGGGGAGGGGGGGAAGGAGGGAGGGAGGGGAAGAAAGGGGAGAGGAACAGAGGATGGGAGGGAAAGGGTTAGAGGGAAGTAGGGTGGGAGGGAAGGGAGGAGAGGGTGGGAGGGAAGGATGAGAGAGCGAGAGGGAGGGAGGGAGGGGGAAGGGAAAGGGACAATAAATGGATAGATAGAGCGAGAGAGAGAGAGAGAGAGAGAGAGAGAGGAGAGAGAGAGAGAGAGAGAGAGAGAGAGAGAGAGAGAGAGAGAGAGAGAGAGAGAGAGAGAGAGAGAGAGGGAGAGAGAGGGAGAGAGAGAGAGAGAGAGAGAGAGAGAGAGAGAGAGAGAGAGAGAGAGAGAGAGAGAGAGAGAGAGAGAGAGAGAGAGAGAGAGAGAGAGAGAGAGAGAGAGAGAGAGAGAGCGAGCACAAGCGGGACCCGATCTGCTCCTCCATTCCCCTCCACCTTTCTCACGCCCTCTCCCCCTTCCCTCCCCCAGGGCGACACCCTCGTGATGGCGTGCGAGTACTCGACGAAGGACCGCGTCAACGTCACCCTCGGGGGCTTCGCCATCAGTGACGAGATGTGTGTCAACTACGTGCACTACTTTCCCAAGGTCGACCTCGAGGTGTGCAAGTCCTCGGTGGATTCGGCGACGCTCGTTGATTACTTCGACTTCTTAAGGAGGTGAGGACGCCGCGAGTATGCTTAAAGGCGACACTGAAAGAGAAAAGAAAGGAAAGGAAAAATTGTCAGGAATTCAAGCGTTGGTTCGGTCAGGAATACCTCAGTTTGAGCTCGAAGTGTAAGCTCTCTCGACTTCCAAATGAATGAGTGAAGTTTATCATTATTATTTTATGTATTAATTTTGTATTAATAATTTATGTATTAATTTATGTATTATTTTGTATTATTTATGTATTAATTATACTCTCACTCTTTTTCTCTCTCATATTCCTCTTCCTCTCTCCGTCTCCTTTCCTCTCTTTTTATCTCCCTCCTTCCATTCCTCGCTCCTCCTCATCTCCCACCCCCTCTCTCTCTCTTCTCCCTCCCACCCTACCCCACCCCTCCCTCCCTCCACTCTCTCTCCCCCTCCTCACTCTCCCACATTCCCTCCCTCTGCACTCTTTCCCTCCCTCTCCCTCTCTCCTTCCACTCTCTCTCTCTCTCTCTCCCTCTACACTCCCCCCCCCCCCCCGCGCAGATGGGAGCTCCAGCCCACCTCCCGCGAGCAGAGTTGGCGGGAGAATTACGAGGCGATCGAGTGGACGCCGCTGCGAGCCGGGGTGCTGGCGGACCTGTATGACCACGCCCCCTTGTCCATGCAGTGCAACAAGTGAGTGTGTTCGTAACCCTTAAGAAAACAGATATATATAAAAAGATAAAGGAAAAAATAATGAAATGGAATAGGAATGGGAAGTAAAGATTGGGTGAAATAATTGTAAACACGGAAATGTATTAAAAATTAGTGAAATAGCCATAAACGTGGATATAGGATAAGATTAAGAATTAAAATTGAGTCAGTGTAATAACTATATACATGGACATGAAATTAAGCTAAATAACTATAAAAACTGGGAACGAAATTGCATTGGTAATTAGAAACTAAGTGAAATAATCATAAACATGGAAACAAAACAAGATTAGGAATCTCAATCTCTCTCAATCTCTCTCTCTCTCTCTCTCTCTCTCTCTCTCTCTCTCTCTCTCTCTCTCTCTCTCTCTCTCTCTCTCTCTCTCTCTCTCTCTCTCTCTCTCTCGTTCCTGCCATCTTCAAAATAGCATTCATTTATCCATTATATATCTATATCTATATCTATCTATCTATCTATATATATATCTATATATGTGTGTGTGTGTGTATGTATGTATGAATATATCTATATCTTTCCAGGTCGTCTGGAGCGAGATTTCCGGGATTTTGGGAAAACATGTCGATTCCCAAAGCACTGCACCCTCTTCCTGAACCTCAAAGAAAATGCGACCTTAAGAGCGACGCAATGGGAGAAAACGAGAGCCAAGAAACTGGAGAGACTTTGTTAAATTAGGGGATTTTCGCGAGATAACGGGATAATTGTCTTGGCTTCCATCACACGCTGTTACGATGCTTGGGTCGTTCTATGTCTGATGTTTACCCAGGAATGTTAGTGTGTAGCACCGGCCTGGATCAACATTAGAAGTAAAGGCATTATAAATATTCGAACATATAATTTAGATAGAAGAAAGGAAGAGAGAAATGGGTAGAATAATAAATACACACACATACACACACATGCATATATATAAAGCTAAAATAAACTAATTTGTTATATGGACATTGAAAGGTCCGAACTAGATGCACATAAGAGGCATAATCCTCATAAAAACCCTAAGATAAAACATAAAACTCATAAAATATGAAAAGCCGATTCCCTTTTCTCTCTTTTAACGCCCAAAAAGGACAAGACAACCCCACTGGAATTCGCTTTTTGAACAAGAGGAACAGCGGAACGAAGCGCGCCTTTTCTATCAAAATGCAGCGAAAATATCTTGGGACCAACGCATTGTAAGATGTTAGAGATCTGCAGCTGCTTCCACCACTGTACTTTAAAAGGAAGGAATAAAAGGAAAGAAAAGTGTCAGTATCTCCCTCTCCTGTTCGTATGCCCTTTTTATCATTCTGTTTCCGTTAATTCCGTTCTTCCCTTTTATTTTCCAATCTATCTTCATCTTCCCAATCTCTTACCGTCCACTCCCATGCATGTTGTTATCGTGGGGGCATAGGAGACGGGAACTGAGGCCCAGTATTGGGGATCACCCTTACCTTGGGCCTCAGGCCTCGCCTCAACAAATTCTGCATGGTCCATTCTTCTCACACTTTCCTTTTCCGTCTCTTCTTTGAGAAGATCCTTCCTCTACTCCCTCTCTCCCCCAGTCGAATTCCTTTTCCAGTCTAAATCCAGATACTCCAATCTCTACCGCTTCCCCAGTTCCTATCCCCCTTTCTACTCATTCCACATGCCGCACCAGGCAATCTAAATATTTCACTCCATATTCCCCTCCGTATCCTCTCCTACACCCTCCTCTTCTTCTGCTCCCCGGACATCTGTCTCCTCTTCTCGTAAAAAAAATGTTTCTGAGACCTCCCCACTTAACTCACTTACTCCCAGAAACTCTTGAAGACATCTAAAACTTCCTAAACATGATCCAAGAGAACGCTCCGCTCCCTCATCCACCCCCGTCTACTTCCCCACCCCCTAATCTCTCGCCCGTTGTCGCCTTGGGGTGCTAAAGTGACGAAGACCGAGGCTCAGTGTCAGGGATTACCCTGCCTTGGACTTCAGCCCTCTTCTTCCTTTCTCCTTTTCCTCTTCTTCTCTAACGTCTACTGTCCACTTCCTAAGGCGTGAGAGGCATGTTGAAAGGATGAAAGGCTAACATTGTGCCAGCTATGGACGGCCTGGGGGCCATGGGGACGGCATTCCCATTTAGTTGTCTAGCCCTTATCCCTCAAGGGGTCCCGGAGGGGTGGACCATTTCCCTCCCCAACATACTCCAGGCCTACCATGACCAGTAATGGAGATTTTGTACCCCAATTAGGGGCAATGACGCTTGCCCCTTTCTCAATTAGCCACACTGATTTTAAATCTCCCGGTTCCCCGACCCCAGGCTTCCCTCTGACCACGACTCTACAACTACCCCCTCCTCAACGCCAACTATCACCCCAGTTCAGTCCAAATCATCCACTCCGGTCATTACTTAACCTCCAGAAAACATTCCTCCTCTCCCAACACCCTCTACCTCATCTCCTACCCCCTCCCCCCTTAATAGTGCTCTGCAGCCTTATCATCCACCTCTCTGCAGTATTGCTCCCCTCTTCCACAAGGCCCCGTCCTGCTACTACCCCCCCCTCTACAAATCTTTTTAGCCCAGCCAAATGGGATCGATTATTTGTGACCCCCCCCCCCTCAGTTCCTTCCTCTTTTCCAGCAATGCTTCTAAAAGCAAGTAGGCAAATTTTCTTCTGCAGCCGCCCTAATGTTCATACCTTGTCACAGTACATACGAATCCCAAGCTAAAGCAATATCAACCCTGACTGACTTCACTGGCAAACTCATTCTTGCCCAACCTCTTCATCCCCTAATCCCTTGTTCGTTGTTGTCGTGGGAGGGAGGGCCGGAGACTGGGGCCCAATGTAGGGGATCAACCCTGCCTTGGTCCTTGGCATTCGCCTCAGCTAATTTTCCATGGTCTTTTTTTCTCTCTTTCCTTTCCTTCATCATCCCCTTCTTCTGTCTACTTACTAAGGTGTGAAAGCCATGCTGAAAGGATGAAAGGCTGGCTTTGTGTCAGTCATGAGCGGCCTCAGGAGCCATGGGCACGGTATTCTGGTTAGACTGTGAAAACGACCTGCTCGCCTGCCTCGTCGACTATGATGCAGTGGCAGTCCAGTGCTACACTATTCCTCCCAGAGGCCGACGTAATCCCTATGCCAATATTGCCAAGATTAGCTTCCATAGCCATAACCTCCCCCATGAAGTTTATATTGGTGGAGTGTCCTGCCCTGCCCGACCATATCGACCTCTTCCCCGTCAGTGTCATAAATGTTGGCGTTTTGGCCACCCAAACAATGTCACTCCACAGCCCGCTGCCCTCTATGTGCCCAACCTGGTCATGACCGTTCAAATTGCTCTGCTCAGTCACGCACATGTGCCAATTGTGGTGGCTCCAGTGTATTCTATAGAAACTGCCCTACCTACAAGCTAGAATCTGAGGTAGCAGTTCTAAGATTCAAACTAGGCCTCACACTACGTGAGGCCAGACAAGAAGCATGCCGAAGAGGATTTTCTCTTTCTACCTATTCGAAAACTGCACTTCGCTCCGCCCCCCCCATCTTCTCGAGGAGTCTCAGCATCTCTCCCAGTATCTCTTCCTTCTACCCTGAACCAACCTATCTCTACTACCTCTCTCCCTCAGTCAAATTTCCAGTCTAGATCCAGATACTCCAATCTGTACCACTTCCCTTAGGCCTACCCACTCCCTCATCCACCCTTTAATACCTTTAGTCGCTCTATATTCAAAGTATCTGCCGATATCCATCCTCCTCCTCCTCAAGTTCCCCCTACCCCTCTTCCTCTCACTCACCTAAAAAACACCCCCTCCTCTCCTCCATGTGCATCACCAATCCCTCTTCCTTCCCCATTACCCTTACCACTCCCACTTAGATGCTCATCTGACTCCCTGTAGTCAAAACAATGTCCTTCTTTGGCTCCCTCCCTTCCTGTCACTCTTCTAGATACTTCACCACCTTCCCCTGCTCCCTTATTTCATTCTCAGGATTCTTCTCCTTCTTCCACAACTATCGTTTCTTACCGTATTACTATTTGGTTGGTTCATTTTGCAGTTTTCCCATGCAGTGTTACTCTCCCTTCCTCAGACACCCACACTCCATTAGATCTGATCGCCCTATACCTTGAACCACTCCCTTTTACAAATCCTCACTGTATTCCATTTGCTCCTCCTCTATACCCTTTTCATCAATATTCTATCCTACATTTTCTACAACCTTTGACATCTAACATGTCATCCTGATCATTAACTCATTTCCACCCTTTTCGCCACAATACTTTACCATAGTGCTATATGACCTTTGATGCCTAGCACATTTAATTCTTCTAACCATTAAACATCAACCAACCTCCTTCCTACCGCAGTACTTGCACCGAAACTCTCTCCATTTTCCCCACAAACTGCCCTGTCTACGATTTGACCTAACCGCCTTTCGTCCTTGACCCCCTCCCCCCTTTTACTAATCCTCGCCTCACTGATCCCACACTTTCCTTTTCATTGGCGACCTTAGAACACCTAACACATGCCGTTTTAATCCTTGACTCATTTTAACCTTTTCGCCATAGTGCTTTGCCATAGTACTATGTGACCTTTGATGTCTAGCACATCCATAAGTTTAAACTATTAACCATTCTCAATCTCAAGGGTAGATGGATATATATATATATATATATATATATATATATATATATATATATATATATATATATATATATATATATATATATATATATATGTGTGTGTGTGTGTGTGTGTGTGTGTGTGTGTGTGTGTGTGTGTGTGTGTGTGTGTGTGTGTGTGTGTGTGTGTGTGTGTGTGTGTGTGTGTGTGTGTGTGTGTGTGTGTGTATGTTTGTATGTATTTATGTATAGGTATATGTATAAATAAATTAATTAATTTAAAAATACATATCCGTATATATATTTTGATTTATTTATTTATATATACACATACTTATATATATATGTATATATATATATATATATATATATATATATATATATATATATATATATATATACATATATATATATATATATATGTGTGTGTGTGTGTGTGTGTGTGTGTGTGTGTGTGTGTGTGTGAGTATGTTTGTATGTATTTATGTATAGGTATATGTATGAATAAATTAATTAATTTAAAAATATATATCCGTATATATATTTTGATTTATTTATTTATATATACACATACTTACATATATATGTGTATATATATATATATATATATATATATATATATATATATATATATATATATATATATATGTGTGTGTGTGTGTGTGTGTGTGTGTGTGTGTGTGTGTGTGTGTGTGTGTGTGTGTGTGTGTGTGTGTGTGTGTGTGTGTGTGTGTGTGTGTGTAAGGTCGAACGATGTACGATCAGGCGATGATGACGCTGCTTGTGAGGGAGTGACCAAGCCTATGAAGGAGAGGCCTATTTCCTGCAGGAGGCTGACCCCGGGTCGCTCTCCCGCTTGTCCGGGGGACGTGATTCAGGAGAGATCTGCGGAGAAACTATGGCACGTGTGCTTTGGCTGGTTATTTTGGCAAGCAGGGCTTGTCAGTTATTATTATCAAGTTTTTAAAGAACGTTCCATTTGAATATAGATTTAATGTATTTAATTTTAATAGAAATTTAATGTATTTGCATGTAAAGTTAAAAAGAGTAAAATACAGGAAATCTGAACATTAGTTTACTTAATCCCTTCATTAAAGGAA